ACTTCTACTTTCAATATAACTCACGTCACGGAATTTGCTTGCAATAAATTACAATACACAGAGATACAGAATTAAATTCTGCATCTGGGCAAATTATTCCGAACTTATTGTGACACCGCGTAATTTTGGCGGCCATTTTGAGGCAGTTACAATCGAATTTCGTGGGAATTCAAGGGTGCATTTTAAAAATGCACTCTTACCGTATCATAAAATCGAAAAATAACTAAAATATGGCAAAGGGTTCCCGAGATATGGCCTGTTTTCCACCGTGTGTTTTGACAAACGCGAAAAAAGTATGCGCATACTTTGTCGTTTCCTTCGTTTTCTATATTACCCGCAATTAAAATAAACAAGGCACCCTTAATTCGCAAGCTATTGCAACACGCAGGTCATAAAACATTTCACCGAATAATATAACTTAATAAAAACTTACCAATGCAGTGCTAAGTTGTTTACTCAAGTACGAAGGGACCTCCTAATGACGGGAAACATCATGGCAACAATATACATTTGGATTGTAGATATTAAACGCAAACATATAAAAATTATGGATATTAAACGCACAAATTAATCATTAACAAAACACTGCAGATGCATGTTACAACTAAATCAATTGATGATCGAATACAATTCAAGTTTAGAACATAAGAGTCCGATAAAACGATACGAGTTGCGCAAAATACGTCTAAATACGCCAGCGACCGGCACGAAACTGACTGCAAACCATCGATAGCGCAAGCAACGATGCGATGCGACAGTTCCCAATAAGACAATGTGCGTGCGGCATGTAGCCAGCAGGTAAAAGCAATAGATGCGCAAAGCGACCCGCCGGTGACACACGACCTTATACGTGAATTGCAACAGGCATGTTACCTGCGATCACAAATAAACTAAGGACGTGACAACGTGCGACGACACACAAGCATTCGATAAAAAAGTGTAAATTGAGTTCAAAACAAACACAATTCTCGCATCGAATGCCAACGTTTGCTGATAAATACGAGATATATTCGTATAGAAATAAAGAATACAATTTTATTTTATGGATGCTACAGACAGTAGTCCCGCAATTACAATTATTAAAACTTATCGAAAATTAAAATTTGAGTGGTGTAATTCTAATTTCTCATGGTGAAAGATTTTCATGGGGTAAAAGGGCAAAAAAACGGGACTAAAATTGCTAAAAAGTGCAATTTTTCTTTTTTCACTCAATTCTTTCAATTGCGAATATCTCGTAAACTAAAAGCGGTAGAAATGAAAGGATTGAAAAATATTAATCTACGCGAAATTCTCTACAAGACAAAGTATTAAAATACTCGTATTGCAAGATGTGCTTCAGCAAAGCAAACAAGGTCGCAACAATTCATGATAAGACTACCTATGCGATTTGCAATAGACATGATACCTGCTATCTAAACTAAACTAAAATATGCTGCATGCAATAAGTTGATGCGGCGTGAGAACAGCGCGCGGGACACATACAAATTATATTCCCCGTTTGTGTCGAGCGGTTTTATATTAACGATTTCGTTATCGACTCACGAGTTGTTAAATATAATTTATTTATTTATTGGTTCGAATCGCGATCGCGGATTAGAATTGGGTTTAGACTTTGATTCACTTTTGTTGGTTTTCTTAGGATTTGTTAAGTGGGTTCTTGATGATCGATTCAGAAGAACTTGTTAACTTTCACTTGTTTATTCAACGAACTGGGATGATACAATAATCGCTTACGTCTAGGTCTGCGCTCTATTTATATGGCTCTAATATGCGTTTTAAATAAATATGAAGAGAAGATGCGCAACGAAACAGGAAATGCGCAATTAGGTGACTTTGAGACAATGAATTCTAGAAATTGATAATTACGTTTGAAATAAATAATTACTGCGCTTGAAATAAATATCATGATTGCGTCTTAACTAATGATTCTTGTTTGGTCATCGGGTTCTGTTCATATAACTTACAGTAAAAAGTTGTTTATATCGAAACGCTGATAACAGCACTTCCAAATTATTCTCGTGGCCACGTTTGTCAATAAATATAAAAATAAGTCGTATAACTCGATTTTAAGATTTTTAGTACATCCTAGTGCCATCTATAAATGCAATAGATAGTAGTCCCGAAATTTAGATTAATAAAATTAATCTTAATATATATAAATCTCGTGTCACAATGTTTGTCCTCAATGGACTCCTAAACCACTTAACCGATTATAATAAAATTCGCACACCATGTGCAGTTCGATCCAACTTGAGAGATAGGATAGTTTAAATCTCAAATTATAGTCGCAATTTTAATTTATTTCTAATTATTTGTCTGTTATTATTTGACAGTCACAATTATCTGTTAACTCCAAATGATTTTAACAGGTGTGGATACCTTTCGACTGTTATTATTATTAGTTGACAGATAGAAACTCATTTTGACAATAATTATAAAAGTGAATGAATTTGTAAATTTAGAAATGGAAATTGTGAGTTTTAATAATGGATGTGGCACATATAGCTAAAAAAGTCTTTCGGAAATTTCGAAAATATTCGTGAAAGATAAGTCGGGACAACGTTCGACAGGGCCGCTAGTAAAACAATAAAAAGCAAATCATAAAATTATACATCAAATATTTAAGTGATATTTAATTTGAACATGTATTGCTATACTATTTACGTTTATATTTTAGCAATGAACAATTCCAACTGAATTCTAAAGACAATTTATACTAAAATAAAAGGCTCATAAAAACGTTTTGTTGCAACTTCAGTAGAAAAAATTATAAATTTCAACTGAAAGTATTCTGCTGAATAGTATTGAATAATGAGTTCAACAGTAAAATTTTATTAAAATAAAATACTCAGGAGGACTTTCTGTAGCAACACCCAAAATAAAAACTTTAAATTTACAAATATAAGTTTTTGTGGAAAATGTGTGTTTACATTTAGTCAAATTACAGGAAAACTATAGGTCCTAGAGTAAAATATTACTAAAATAAAATGCTCATGAGCACTTCTTACAGGAACATACAAAATAAAAACTTTCAATTTCCAAATTTAATTTTTCTGTGGAAAATGTGTGTTTACATTTTATCAAATTGCGAGAAAAATATTAGTTCAAGAGTAAAATTTTACTAAAATAAAATACTCAGGAGGACTTTCTATAGCAGCATCCGAAATAAAAACTTTAAATTTTCAAATTTTCTTTTCCGGTGGAAAATGTGTGTTTACATTTTATCAAATTGCGGGAAAACTATAAGTTCAAGAGTAAAATTTTACTAAAATAAAATACCCAGGAGGACTATCTATAGCAATATCCGAAATAAAACCTTTAAATTTACAAATTTAAATTTTCTGCGGAAAATGTGACCTCACATTTGATCAAATTGCAGGAAAATTATGAGTCCAATTGTAAAATTTTATTAAAATATATTGCTCAGGGAAACCTTCTATCACAACTTCCGAAATAAAAACTTTAAATTTACAAATTTAATATTTCTGTGGAAATTGTAAGTTCACATTTAGTCAAATTACGGAGAAACTATGAGTCCTGGAGTAAAATTTTACTATGATAAAGTGCGACGTTTTTCAAATTTTCTGCGGAATGCTTGACCGAAATTTTCGCAAAAAGAAGTTATTAAATAAGATATTCATTCTCTAATTGCAGGAAAACCGTAAAATCGAAAAATAGGTACTATGAACGATGAAAAATTTCACTCACCAGTGTATCGAACACCGTAAATCAAATGCGATTAGATATTGAAATAAACAAGAAACAAAACATTAGATATACAATTTCGGACAATGTTGAAGTGAATCCGAGTTCCGGACGCACCCAAACTTTGCCTTAAAAATTGTCTTATTTGCCATAATTATTTAAATAATAATATTTACCAGAGAGAACAGCCGCCCGTCGTGTTCTGCTGAAGACAAAAATGGTTCGCACAACTCCAAAATATTATTTACAATCACACAACATGGCCGACTGGCGTCCGACGGCAACCGATCCCAGATACACGCGAAACTGTATTAAACACACCAAACATTGAATTCCGAAGATTACACACGCGATAAATATTTAGCGACTAAAACCCGTCTATTAACACTAAATTCCAGCAAATAAAACTCGATATAACGAATTTACTTGTCGCACGGAGTTAGAGTTGCGTGCCGGCTACACAACAACTGGGCACGCCGACTTTCACTCGCAGGAATATTTTTAGCTAAAACATGCATTATTGCGCCATCTAGGGTTACTTTTGAGTACCCCAAGAATTTTCTTTCTATTTCTTTGTATTCTTTGTATTTACAAAGTGTATCAAAATGTGTGGGGTGCATATGAGGCAGTGGGTGATTGGCTATGAGTCAGTGTATGGTCACGCACTTAAATGGACGTGTCCGTGGGTCACACGTACACGCAACTGCACATTCACCATTCTATCTAAACAAATAGCAATTTTTACACATATCTCAAAGCTTCATATGTAGATGTCCCTAGAATGTATTAATTCAAAAATTCAAATCACGATACAGATATGATGTTTGAAATATTTATTTATTTATAATTTTTCGTGAATATAAATTGTAAATAAACTCTACTATTAGTATTAGAGTTTATGAAGATGCCCTCTGGGCGAAACATGTCAACTCCAAATATAAATTGTAAATCCAATATTCACGAAAAATTATAAATAAATAAATATTTCAAATATAAAATGGATTACGTATTCACCAAAGAAAGTAATAGATATTATGTAGTTTACGATGCGGTTTAAATGCAATAAATATAATAGAGTAAAAGCCCGTGACGAATTTGACATCATAATTGGTACATCTTTGTTGGCTATTAACTGCCAAAGGAACCACGATCCAGGTTTCATAATTGGGGATCGTTGTTTGCTGTGTTTGGTACACACATAGAAACATTTTCATCTGTCCTAAAATGACGAAAGTTTTATCAAGTCGGCATTGTATTATCGAGATTCATTACTGACACATAAAAATAATCTGAATATGGATAGCTCAAACGACACCATCATCACAGAACTCTTCAACTTTCAATTCAGGCCAAAGATCCATTGTTACATATTGGCTATTTTGGTTGGTGGCCTCCTCTCGATCCTAGCAAAACTTTTCTACATCCCGCATCAAATACCGGCGACGCTCTCGGGCATTGTCATTGGAATTGCCGCACGTCACATAGGAAATTACGAAGATATGTTAATGGACGCCCACCTATTACTGTCAATGTACATCCCTTTACTGATTGCCAAAATCGTCTACAACATGGACCACTACCTTCTTAGAAAATCTCTTACCCAGATTTTCATCATTGGTGTTATTGGAAACTCAGCCTTCGTTTTTGCTTTTGGAATGATCCTGTCACTATTTCAAAAGCGCGATGTTCCCTTAGTGGACGTCATGATTATATCGGTAATAATAGCCCCAAACGATAATCCAAAACTTCCCATCTCCGACGGAATCAAGAACCTCGAAATACTAATGTACGGAGAGACTATATTAGGCGTGGCTGTTTGCAATGTTGCACGCATCATCTTCACGGCAATTATTAATAGGTACGCCACCAAGTGGTACCAGATTATCTGTTTAATTATCAGATACATTGGACTCAGCATTCCGGTTGGATTTGGATGCGGCTTGGTTACTTCACTGCTTTTCCGACAATTGTACAACGATAGCATGAATGCTATAGCCGCCTATATATCAGCAGCTTACTTTGTATATATGTTAAGTGAACATATTGTGTGGTGCAATGGTACTCTGGCATCCTTCATCACTCTATTTATGATGACTAAGCAACGCACCAAACTACATTCCAAGACAGATCATGACATTAAGCTTGCTTGTAATGTGGTATACGCATTGGCAAAGACCCTTCTTACTATTATTTGCATTGCTGATAGTATATATTGGCTGGAAGAAAAGAATTTTCTAATTGAGCTTGTCGAAGCCATTGAAGTCTACACAATGGGGAATGTCATCAGATTGATTATTTTCCTTTTAGCTTCTCCAATGTTAAGTCGAGCTGGATATGGTTTTGAGTTTGCTAGTCTAGTAACTCTTTTCTGGGCGGTGCAGAAAGGGCCACTGCAATTGATTCAGGTGTTTAAATTGCATGGCAGACCCGGAGGGTTTAAACACTTAGAAAAACTGAACTTCTATGTAGTAATCTATGTTATTCTAACCAGTCTGGTAAATGGAAGCACATTGAAGATTCTTCTGAAAGCGTTTGGACTGGTTAAACTGTCCAACAAACGGAAGGCCAATATCGGTCTCGCTATAATTTCAATAAATGAAATTGGTAACAAAGTGTTGTCAACATTGAAGGGTAATCAATTCTATTCGGATGTAAATTGGTCTGTAATTAACGCCCATACAGTAGTCAAAAATCCGTTTGAAGAAGTCGCTGACCAGCGGACAAAAGACAATATTATTTGTCAAGTGTGTAGCGCTGCTGTGCCTCTGAAACCAACAAAAGATGAATACAACGAACATTTAAAGTATTAACTTCAATCATCAACAAATCATTTTATTTTAATTGTTAATAACTTATTTAGAGATGTTACTATGAAGATATTGAACGCCCAAAGAGTTTCCTTTCTGGAACAACATGAATTCGGTTTACTAACTAAGCATGACATAAAAATATTGTTAGAAGCTGTTGACATTGCAATGGACTCTTCAAATATGAGTATAAACGTTGATGATTTACTTTCGTGCATGAGTTCCGAGGTAGAGTTTATATGATACATGCTAAGCATCAATATAATATATTTGCATTTTTAGAAAGCCGTTGTAGCTCCAAATAAAGTACAGAAGATATTAACTATCGACAGTCATATTAAAATACCCAGAACTACTCACAGAAGAAAATGTTACAACATAACAAATTTATTAACATTCGAGCTAATTATATGTATGATCGTATTGTTAGATATATCTCTTCCAGTAATAAGACTATTTCTTGATTATTCGCCGGGCTCAGAAGCAGCCTTACTAACGACGGCAACTCTATGTTTGTTTTGTTATCTTGCTGAAGCAATATTGAGAGTTGTCAGTTTTGCCAATGGTTCATTATGGAAAGATTTGAAATATTATATCAGGTAAAAACCTAAAACTATGAAGGTACATTATCCAACAATTGTTTTCAATTTCAGTAATCATTGGAATCAGGTGGACATATTCGTGATAATAGTATCAATCCTAAACATATTACTGAGCACTACTTGCAATTATGATGCAGAATCCTACCAAACATGCAAATATCTGCATTGCATTAAACTGGTGATTTTCTTCAAAATAATTCGGGTATTCTCAAAACTTCGCTTAGTTTATCTTACTAAGATGGAGCGTCGCAATGAATTGAAACTCATGAGAGTTTTCGGAGTTGCTCAGGTATGTCATAAAATTATTTTGTGCCCCAACGTATAATCTACAAACAATCAAAATTAGGGAATTGTAACAAGTTGTGATGAAGTAATCAGCATGTTGTCTGTATTAACTGAACAATCCAATATACGTGAAATGATGAAAATCAACTTGGAACAAATGCGTGCTGCAACCATTCAGAAAATGGGAATTCTGGAGAAAGCTCGTCCGTCTCTGACCACCACAATCAAAACAAAACAGGCATTAAGATGCATTCTAAAGCATCTGAAACAAGGTATCAGAGAGTTGCACTCATCTGGTCTAATTGATGCTTTTGAGTTTCAAAAATTGAATCAATCAGTCACCTTGAAGACTAAATTCTTATCTACCGTACGGATTTTGAAAGTGATCAAACCGACGTTGATCTTCGAAGAAATTCCATGGCTACACGATGACGCCGAATTATTAGATTTCATTTACAGTAACATAAAAAATAGGCTCTTCAACGATGGCGATGTTGTCTGTGAACCGGGTGACTACCCTGAAGGAGTCTACCTCATTGTATCTGGTATTTACACATCAATACTAATATTGCTTTTCCTTAATATAAAATTGTATTAGGATATTTTAAAGTAACGTATTATCCAACTGCTGAATTAAACGAGAGACTAAAGCTAAACGGGGGGCTGCCATGTAAGGAATTCCTGGAGTATTTGAGATTCGATGAAGTGCATGAAGATTATCTCTCAAGTGGCAACCGCATGGGAGAGCTTGCATACTTAACTAATCGCCCACACCATTGTTCAATTATTGCTGAAGCACCGAGTCAAGTATTTATTATTTCAAATGAAATTTTAAAACGCGCAGAAGAAATATCGCCCGATCCTGTTTTGGGGTATATAATATATAGAATACCTGCTGCCTGAACGTAAACAACTCAATTTTAACCCATATAACTTCGATAGAGTTGCTGCAAGAATATGGAAATGTGTTTTGTTTGGTCTTAGTCGCCGTCTCCTGTTAACCACCTCCGCGTATCAATCGACTGCAAAACAGGAAGCAGATTATGCTTTGATTCGTGCGGTCGTACCGAACACTGATTACTATAATGTTATCAACGTGCCTCAGGTTGTTGAAGATGTGCTTCTCCTCCAAGGTGTCGTTGTTGATTACAACACAAGAGAAATCTATACTGCACCGTGTGCTTTGCCTAAGTATACCAATTTTACACAATAACATACACACATAACTAAATTGCATCTGTTTCAGACACGTGAAGAAAATACTTATGCCCAAATCTGGCTTAATCGAACGAAATATAAGTACGAAGTTAATGTTTATTCCTGACAACAACACGGATGAGTACGAAATGATGTTAAGCATGCAAAATAATTCTGAACTTGTAAGAATACATCAGTCAACCAATTTGATTTTGATAATTTAATATTTCGTTTTTTAGATACCTGACTCCGAATGTGCGCAAGTAACAGAACAGATGAACTCTAAAAGACGTTTTGAAAGTCATCTGTTCAGTTTCAATAAACCAAAGTCAGGAACTTTAACTTATTGTCACCAGATTATGTCCTTCAGTGGTGGAGTATTATACAATTTTAATGATGAATAGTTTGGAATGTATATGCATATGATCATGCATGTATATTAAATGCTAAGCTTCTAGTAGAGCTAGTTTTGCTGCAGCCAAAATTCGTGTTTTCCATTCATCATAATCTTCTACTTCAATGTCTTCAGAAACTTTAATTGTTTCAAGCTGCTTGTTTTCTTAAATAAAAATTTCAAATACATAAAACCTTGGTATTATTGAAGTTGTATAAATTACCTGCTTTGGTGGCATGCTCTTCCAGAAAATCATGCAATTCATTCCTAGTTGACTTCTTTTGTACTTTGGAAATATTTAAACCTAATTTTTCAACAAACTTTAAAAATGCAGTTTCCAGTTCCTTCCACTGCATTGGTTTCAAGCGGCTGATTGAGATAAACTGGGATTTTTGTACTTTAACAGATTTCAATCTAAAATTCAACTTGAATATATTTGCAATTGAAGATTAAAAAAATAAACCTTACTTGCAAGCTGTGTAAATTGCAGCAGCTATATATTGTGGATGACTTATATCAGCCAGAGCATGATACTGTCTATACAATTCCAAAATTTGAGCCGATAAATCATTCACAACAGTACAGCTAAGTTGAACACAAACTTCAGAAACTGAGAGTGGTTTATCAAGTTCCAACACTTTTTCAAGCATATGCAAACTATTTTGGTATGCTGTTTTCTTCAATCCAGATAATAAAAGTGCTGATTCCTTTAAAATAAAACAACAGATACTTTAAGTTAATATTATGAATATGAATTCACCTTGTCAAAACCCAATCCAAGAAAATTGCACGCTAAATCAAGACACAGCACTGCTTTTGCAAAATCACCCAAATTCTTTACAATTGCTTTGGAATGTAAAACACGCAAGAATTCATTAGATTTACTGAAAAATAAAGGAATATAGTTACAGACAACTTGTTATAGGTATTTAATTACCTACTTTATCACAGCCGTTTCTTCTCGCAACCCTAATCTCTCAGCAACATTGCTCAGAATCATATTTACATTCGACATTTTGTAATTGTATAATCTCCACTGTTTATAATAAATAAAACCACACTAAAGTTTGCATCGAACGCTTACAACACGCTTTCAACTTTTTACGATCCTTTGGGTTAGAATTTTCGCGCGTTAAACGTGTATATTGGGTTGCCTAACAAGAACACACCGTGTTGAATAAAATTTAAACTTATTATCAGAATAATTAAGAAAACTAAGATAAATATCGACTACCTGCCTAAAAAATAACAAATTAGTCGATTATTGTGCATATAAATATAAGATTTGTTTAAAGTAATACAAAGTTCAATAAATATGTGTTTTCTTTATTTTGTTTATATAATCACATATTATAAAATTAATTTCTATTTTAATTTCATATTGTAATTTTTTCCATCGACCTGATTTAACTAGGCATAACCGATCACGTAAAAACAAAGCGCGATGAATCGATGAAATCCTTGAAATCATCACCTCATCACTACAATGCGTTTCTACTCTGAATTCACATTGATAACTTGATAATGTAGTAACACACATTACGCTTAGCGTTTTGGTCGTGTGCAGTTTATTGTTATTCTTGGCCTAAATACATAAATCCATTTGAGCGTTTATTAATCGATCGTTTCTACTGGTTCTAAATTTATTGCGCGCCGGTATTAATTAACACGTATGCAGCGTGGCGGATGCGCGAGCTAGAAGAAGCACTCGCTACGTGTTTCGACGAGGGGGAATTGATGACGGTCGCACAAACGACTTTTGTCGCCGAGTGTACACAAGTACCTCTTCGCTCTTTAGGAGGAACGGGTCGTATGACACGCACCATCATCATTGGATTGCTCACAAACAAGGCGTGGCATAGCTTAAGAGATTACTCTGCTTCGCTGTGCTGCTACTGGCTCCAGAACCCAGCTCTCCCTCGACATGATTTCCGAATGATTCTCTGCTTCCAATTGGAGCAAATCATCTAGAACCAAAGACGTCTGCACATTATTTCACTAAAATTGCTTTGACTTGCTTATTAGGAGCAATAATAAATGTTAATAAATAGTAATAGATTAGAAAAGTCTAAAGCCATTCGTTTTGGGCGCGCTCATTCGCATTCTATCCCATTACCTTACGCTACCGACGATCTCCAAGGCCGTTACGGCTAGGTAAATATCTCGGACCCCATTATATTAGCATTTTTTCCTTTGGGTCATCACCGGTCTTCAAATTTCGGGGCAAGTTTACGAGCACGCGCGCGCGGATACGCGATAGCTGGTATTTAGTGGAAATAAATTGTGCCCTTCGCATATTTATTTAACTCGTGTAGTTTTATATTCTATCTTCGATAATTACACAAGAAAGAAAGGCACTTAACCACTCGTCACTCGTGTATTTAACGAACGATTAGAATATTAGAAATGATGCCAAACCGGTTGAATGTATTAAATTTAATTATCGCTTTTGCCGAATTTACAAACTCAACGAAATCACTGACCACGGAAACGATGGCGAATATGCGTGTTTAATGCGTTCCCCGCATCGTGTAGGTATGTGTAATATAAACGGAATAAGCAATCAGTTCAGAAATTCATATACTGGAAGACATTGCGTCGTTACGAAACGGAGTGAAACCTGATCATTAGCTCATGTAAAATTTCTAAACGAGCGCAAAATTTCGCCGCTCGCACGATATCTATTTCTCTATATTATTGCTTCGGCATGTGTGTAGCAAGTGAACGAATTGCACAGCGCGCAAACAAGAAGTGAGGTGGCTCGTGCGGAGCCACGAACAAGAAAATAAAACTCTATAGGTACGCTGGACGATGACATATGCGATATATCTCGGATGGTAATTGTAGATATTACCACCATCGGCCGAAGATACCGTATCGCTTTTATGGGTCCAGTAATCAGCTAACTTATAATTCGGCACGCGCGCACGCATCGGTTGTGTCCACCGACCGGCCGACTTCCACATCGAGCATTTCCATACACGAACGGACTCGAGAAAAATATACCCGAAGACACAAGGAAGTTATCATTACTGCTCCAATTCAACTAAAACACTGCACACACCGAGTGCTTTGCTTCACAATCCACTACACAAACAAGAAACATTTAGTTTTATTCGTTTTAGAACGCAATCAGCGTAAAAATCAATTTTTAATTCAAAAAAATTAAATTTTAATTTTTATTTAATTTTAATTCAAACTGATATTAGTAGCTGATATTAGTACCTAATTGTAGCCCCTGTATGACTTAATTTTATATTAATTTTATACAATGGCAATCAAGCATACGTATAATTGGAAAAGTGTGCATGTGTAGAAAACATTTTACGTAACAATCATCTTTGTGCGGCCGGCTGGTGTCACATAGCGGTGATTTGGCTTATTTGTCGCACATGTCGCACATACACACGGCGTGCCTAAGAAGTACTTCAACATCCGGAGAAATAATAGACCAGAGACGAGGCAAATGGCTAGTATTACATCGCGGACGCGGAAAATGCGCGCCAATGAATCCGTACAAACGCCGAACGCCGAGGAAACCCATCAGCAGATGATACAGCTATTGATACTACATCCTATTAGTAGAGCCCTCTCATCTATCACCCGCAGTCGCTCTTCATCCGCTTATCATTCTCTGGTTCTCGCTGCAACCATATTAGGTTGCCTTCACTTATCTTATTTGCGTTCTAATTGATTTACGTTCAAATCTAAAGTTGAATATTGGATTTTAATGAGAATTGTGAACAAAAATCTTTAGGTATGCAACTTAATATGCACATTATTATTGGTTAGATTGGCAATACTGAAAATTCACTAGAAAAGTCACTATAGTCACTATGTTTTGACATGAAAACCTAACCTCTGTTAACTTTGTTAATAAAAAAGAAACTTTTAATTTATAAACAAACAAAATATGATTTACGAGATCAGCTGGTATTTACCAGATTGGATATCACCTCATAGCGTGAGTCTTCTGGACAGCTGAATCACTTTCTGACTCATACTGTGAGAGAAACACCAAAGCGCCACAAGCGCAATTCGATAAATCCAACGCAGTGGACATAATTATTGCTCATTTTCAGTATATTTTCACCTCGAAGCACGCGCACGCAGTTAATTATTAACTCGCTCGTGCAATAATGTGAATTAATTGCGGCTAACTCTCTGGACCACTCCTGTTTTATTCACAATCCGATGATGATGATGATGAAGACGATGATGTCTAAAACAAACATACAGATCATGATGACTAAATGTTTTTCTATTTCCAAGCAAATTCCAACACATTCAATCGAAATGATGTGTTGGTGCGAGCTTGTTGTGTGTGGTTGACTAAAAAAGCAATTGATTAAATTTGTATGAACGAGACGACGCGCGGAGATGACGAGAAGTACGCTTATGAGGTCCTAACTTCCTCTCTCTTCGCGGCGCGTCGTCAATCGATGGATAAATGCTTCATATTTTCATATACCTTCCAGCGGAGAGCCCGAGGCGTAAAACGTGCGAGTACGCGTACGTGACTCATTTATTTAACGAAAACGTCGCGTATCTGACTGCCATTGTGTGTGAGAATGTACAGTTACCGATTGATGTTCGTGTCTGTTTTGTCAAGCATCCGAATGAAAACTAAATCCGTACAAGAAAAACTCGTAAAATCTAACAACACTCACGCATTTAGAAGACTCATACAAGTTGTCAATAAATCTCTGCGTTTTTTTTTCTAGTTGTGGTACAATGTAAACATATAATTTTGATATTTTCGATTTGCATATTTAATTAATGCGAAACAACATGTTCGCAATTAAGTATGTAAAATGCGTGTCGGCAAATCGCAATTTAATCGCGTTAAACTGCATTCAGACCTACCTGTCAGGTAGAAACGCACCGCAGCTCTAAGAAAGCCAGTGGACAAGGTGCGTAATTATGCAAATATTTATCATACGCATGCTTTGTAATTTTTGGACGTTACCGTTCCACTTCATTTGATACTTTTTAAAGATTAGAACTTTTTATTGTAGTAATTAATATGATAAGTAGGTAATAGTAGGTATTTATAGGCATTGATTTTGTTTATTATGCAGCATATAATATTTTAGGCAAATAGGCAACCAAACATACCTACTGTATTGGTGGTTGCGTTAAATTTTAAGTAAATTGTAATTGTAAGTAAATACATTTTAAAATGTTTATAGATAATTTCTTGACTGTTAACGGTTAAAATCTGTATTGTCGGTAAAATTGTTGTTCGAAATATGAGAAATCCAATTAATAAAAATCTTTCCGCGCGGCGCGTTTATTTATTAAATATGCTAAAATGATCGTTGGGATATAAATATAAAATGAGATTTTATTGCGCGCACGCGGGCATACATCACGTTGCACGGCGTTAATTATTTACCACATCATCTTTTTCGTCTGGTTAAATACGAATTTTATTCGTTTGCCGGGCAAGCGCGCTCTGCATTAAACTCGTACCATCTCTCATAATTGCTTATCCCTCTAGACGGGGGCCGATTATATTATGTATAGGTATGGCCGCACTAATTATCCGACTTACTGGTGTATGTCGGATCTCGTTTCTAGAAACTCATCTCGCGCACGACGCACCAAACCGGAAACCGCGTCTCTGTCCGTTCGTAATCTACACTTTGCATCCTCTTCATTATTTCTTTATTCTCTGACCTGTGCGTGCCTAAGGGAATAAATATCTTTGTTTTATTACATTGGCAGGGTTCTATTGTGATAATTTTACTACGAGTTTATTTACTAGATTTGATCAAAAAAGAAAAGTTGCACTTTGGATCAAGTCGGATGCTTGATGAAATTGGTGTTGGTGGCACATACTCAAATGTGGCTATGGCATAACGGAGAAATGTCTCTCGGCGACGATATAAATATGGAGAGGCTTTCTGCGCGCGCACAATGCATGCTAATGTAGTCCTCGATTGTTTGCTTTAGTGTCTTCGCGTGTCTATTAATTCGGATTCAATGCATCGACCGACGACGATGTTTCAACCGCGCAGCTCTCGCACAGCATTGTTTCGTTTAATGAATTATCGGGCACTTTACGATAGACGCGAAGCAAACAAATCATTCAATCATTTTATTGCCACCTTTTT